GGGGGGGGGGTTAGGTACTTGACACATTACGCAAGGGAATTCGTTATCAATTTTTTTGTAAATATGTAATTATCACAGTCACGAGGGACTGTAAAATAAAAGCCATAATTATGATCACACGATCTACCAACATAGTCTCATGACAATTAGTATTTTGCGATTTGATGAATCGGCTGCAAATTCCAATTTCTATGAATCATCTTGGATGTCTGAAAATGCATGCTATTTTTGTCAAGCTCATCTTGACTAAGCCTTCAAGTGTACCACTTAAATAGTAGTAAAATAGTAGCCAAGTTGCCAACTAGTTCTGTCTTGAACAAAAACGTGTCAACATGCCACAATGTCATTCTGCTGTATCATCTGTCATAATTTATTCGTATTCGCTGGAATGTATTTGTTTGTTGGGTTTCGATTGTACCTTAGGCTCTTAGATACCACATACATCTTATAGGATTCATTAAAAGCAATGGATGTGACTCCAACACGAGATTATGACACATAATCTTATCTTCATATGAACGTTCAAACGGGGAAATCGGTCTTCATTGGAGATGCACTGGAATGAAAACACCACAAACGTCTCGAAAACGGAAATTCATCAATCGTCCCTATTTCTAATAAGATGTAGCCTAGAGAATGAACGTCCAAAATCACGCCTTTCACTTTTCGATCTGTTTGCAAAATGCAGTATATAAACTGTAGACCTACCGTGAGTCCTCATACGACTAATAACGACAAACAAGTTGTTAAGGACAAACGACAAGTTAAGGAAAGCAGTCGAATCAGTGGCTTATTGTGATGAATCTGATTATTCATTGCTTCAAATGAATGCATCCTTGTTTTAAACTCACATAGTCTCTGATCTTTTACAGGCATCAGTCAGAATGGACCTTCTTCGTGTGGCCCTGCTGTGCACCTTTTTCTGCTTTGCGCAGGTTTGGTCATCGCCAATAAACTGTGTCCTTAGCAAGGATTTAATGAAGGGATCCTATACACTTTTAGAGACTGCGGTAAGAATAATGCAGAGAATCTTCAGTGGTGCATGTTAGTGGTAGGTGAATATATATAGGCTATTTATTAACGAATATACATTTTGTTTTAGGGAGGCCTTTTCCCTATGCAGTGCCTGGAGGAAAAGGTTGTCATTCCTTTCCCGCAAAATGCGTTCAAGTCTGAAAACACGGATCAGGTACAATATTTCAATAAATCTTTTTAATTAGATTTTAATCGTTTTTGGTTGACATTTGTGCACATCTGTTTACTTTTCAACTCTTATTTCTGAAGGTTACTGGTGTAGAAAAAGCTGTTTACCAGACACTTGAGAATATTGACGCACTGTTTGAGAACTCCAGTGATCCACACCAGTGGGATGAAGAAAAGTGGAATGATTTTCGAGGCCTCGTATACCGGCAGATTGTGAAAAGCAAATGCGTAAGAAAAGAGCAAACTTAATTTTCCTATGATAATATCTTAAACTTTATAGATGAAATTATTCTGGGTGGAAAGTAATATGTAGACCTGAGGGGGAATAAAATAGGCTACACACAATATTAATTGAGTATTAGCCTATTATTATTCTGCAGTAAATTGTCTTTATTTCTTTCTTTCTCTCATCTCTCGTCTTTTGTCGCTTTGTAGTTCGTCCGAGCAATCTTTTCGTTTTCTTTAACTGGAGATTCCAGATCTTCTAATAGCTATCAGAAGTTTTGTGTTTAACATGACATTGATAATGACTTTTATATTCAGTATTTCATGTTTTCTGGGTCTTGGCAAATATAGATCATGAACAAGTCTGAAGCAGCACAGGATTTTCCCAGCAGAGAAGCTTCACTCAAGGTTTACTTCGAGACTATATCCTCAACTCTGAAAGAAAAGGTACGCTTGTGTCCTCAACCTCTAACTTTAGTCATATCTCTTGTGTTACATAATAAACATTCTAATGCTTACTGTCATTTTTTCTGTGCAGGATTTCAGTTACTGCGCATGGGAAATTGTCAGAAATGAGATTCTCCACACCCTGAAGTTCATACTGGACGACACCATGTTATTCAAGTCTTCAGAATTCTAAATGCTCCCTTGTATTTATTTATTTATTTATTTATTTATTTATGTATTTATTAATTGGCTAGAGGTGTATTCTTTTTCAAATCACTGTAAAGGAAATCATCATTTCCATTCAGCACTCGACAGTTCACAGCATGAAGACTTCAGTATTCATATTTTAAGATTGTATTTTTGTTGCATTTTACAAAGTTTTTGTAATTTTTTAAAAATAAATACATTTTTAATACTGACCTCTCAGATCTTGTCTTGTTTTATATATATATATATAAAAAAGAGATCTTTGCTATATTTGATTTTTGGTGAAATTAGCTTAAGTAGTTGAGTGAAAGAGATCAACAATGAGTGTGATTTAAATAATAAAAAGGGGGGGGGTGGATGAGTAGTGAGGAATGTGTAATATTATCATAGGATAGGCTACACCAGGTGTAGTGAAATAGGCTGATATTTGAACTGTACCCCTCCTTCTCAAAACTGTGACCTTACACATTGATAATGTGACCTTATAGATTTGTGCATCTATGTGGCTGTTTGTTCCAGCAGAAGCGATTTCTACTTTTAGCAGACATTATGATACAAGATCCGAATAGACCTATTAGCGATCACACTTTAACCACATATCCTGTGTTTCTACACTGCTGCAAAATAACATCCTGTTTTTGTCTATTTCTATGTCTAGAACAAATGCAAATATGTTGTACTGTATGTACAGCATGACATCATAATATTATGCACTGCACTGGTCACAAATAGACCTAAATAAATGCTCTATAATCTCTTCTTCTTCTTCATTTATTCAAGCTTTATTTATTTATTGTTTGTAAACATCAACATGTCAGTTAAAAGGACTTAACACTCAGTCTCAATGCAAAATAATTCACCAGTTGCCATTGTGTAATTGTAATGTGGCTTTGAACAAACTTGGACTGCTCTAGCTTTTGAAGTGTTAGAAAAAGAAAAGCTCGTGAAGGATTGTTCACAGACCCTATTAAACTGAAACCCTGTAAATGTTGTTCTTTAATCCAGCAGTGGTAGTTGATGTTAAACATGAATGATGTAAGATCAGTAAGCTCAGAAAACCAAAGAACGGGAATGTAAATGTCAAAGCAAGTTTCAAGGCTGTAACAGCTGGGCTTCTCTGTTTTGTTTAAATGGATGTCACTGAGGAAATGCATAGCTATGTGTCACATTTTTACGTAAAAATATCAAATGATTATTTGGGCCAAAATAAATGATAAATTATCTCTCTATTTTTATTATAAATTACAAAAAATCTCATTAACAATAAAAATAAAAAGTGACGTTGTCCCAGCTTGACACTCGACAAATTTATATATATATACAATTAAATAACACAAACAAACAAATCCAAAGTGTATACTTGATAAATCTGAAACGTCTCAGGTTCCGTATGTAACCATGGTTCCTCGAGGGAACGAGACGCTGCATCGGAAAACGCTTTGGGAATGCCTTCTGTGACCACGGTGAAAATCACATGTGAAATCAGTCCAATAGCTGGGCGAGACGTCACTGGCGGGTGACATCATGCCCAGGAAGCTATAAAAGCATGTGCGTCGGAGCCGGCACAGGAAGCTATAAAAGCACGTGCGGCGGAGCCAGCGTCAGCTTCAGGAATGAGGCAAGCGCTGGCAGGGATGCCGGAAGTATGGCACTGAGACGCAGCGTCTCGTTCCCTCGAGGAACCATGGTTACATAGGTCGAGCTGCGTCGGAGAACGCTTTGGGAAAGAGAATGCACATGCCGCCAGACTTTCAAATCTCTGCCTAGTGTGGAAGCCCGCACAGTTAGGGCGAGAGAACAGAAGAGCCAGGAGTGGCTCGCATATCTA